GCCCAGCAACATAGCGGCCTACGAGCCAGGCCTTAGCAGCCAAACATTTCTACACGGCCTTGGACACCTGTGTGGCGGAATGGGGTCGGCATGCTGCTGGCCTCGGGAAGGGCATGAGACAGGGCCACAGAGAGATGTCAGTGAGCAGCCTCCAGCCTGACGAGACACACAATGCCCACTCACCCACAGGAGAACCATGCATTAACAATTCACAAGTGGCTGTTCTTAGGTACTGTTTTGCTTTTCAGACGGGGTCTCACTCTGTAGCCCTCATTGACCTGGAAGGCTCTCTTGCTACCTTTTTTTTTCTTGGTGGTGATGGGGAGCTGAGACAGGTTTCTGTGTGTAGCCCAGGCTGTCCTGAACTCACTCTATAGACCAGGCTATACTCACTACCCACCTGCTGGGATTAAAGGTGTGCACCAGCACACGTAGCCTGGAATGCTCTCTTGCAGTCCAGGCTGCCCTTGAACTCACAGAGATCCACCTGCTTCTGTAGATTGAAGGTGTGTGCCACGTGGCTATGGGACTGTTTCTTATGCAGCGGTAGCTGACAGACTCGCAGGTGCAGGTATGCTGTCTCTCCTGTAAGCAGCTGAGATGTGGGTGTGAGGGTCTGAGTGAGAACGGCTCAGCTGAGTAGGGAGGATGACGGAGTGGGCTTAGAGCTCTGCCTGGGGGCCGTTGTCTCTCAGCTTATACCTTCTCAGCCCCTGCTCCCGCACTGTGTCTGCCTGCTGCCATGCTCCTGACGTGCTCAAGGACTTACCCCTGAAACTGCAAGCCCAGCAAACTCTTTCTTCTTCACGTTGCCTTGGCCCAGGCGTCCCTTCACAGCAGTAGGAAAGACACTGAGCACTAGTTGAGGGTTTCCTTCTCCATGACAGTGAAACAGCACTGGCCCCATGGCCAGCAAACGTGACAACCTGACTTCAGTCCCTGGCTCCCACAGTGGAAGGTGAGAACCAACTCCTGTGAATGTGCTCTGATGTCTGCATGCTTGCCGGGGTGTGCGGTGGCAGCGGAAGTGCCCTCAGCAACCGGGACCAGGACAACCTTCCAGCTCAGGATGTAGTGCCCCACCCTTTCTTCTCAACCCGGACCCCAACATTGGCCATGCCTGGCAGCTACCGCACCTCCCTGTGCAGCCCAGGGTGACTTAGACTTGCCCTCCTCTCTCAGCTTCTAAGTTGCTGGGATGACAGACTGTGCCACCATGCCAAGTTTTGTGTGCAAAAGTGTTGTCTCACAATTGAACACAGGGTCTCACATGTGCTAGAGTAACACTCTTCAAGGAGCCACATGCCACTCAAGTCACATCGGGTGCACACACACAAGTAGGCAGAAGAATGTCCTGCTCTGTGTCCTCGCTGACCCTGGAGGACTGGGTGTCCTGCTCTGTGTCCTCACTGAGGAAGACTGGGTGTCCTACTCTGTGTCCTCGCTGACCCTGGAGGACTGGGTGTCCTGCTCTGTGTCCTCACTGAGGAGGACTGGATGTCCTGATCTGTGTCCTCACTGACCCTGGAGGACTGGGTGTCCTACTCTGTGCTCTCGCTGACCCTGGAGGACTGGGTGTCCTGCTCTGTGTCCTCACTGATCCTGGAGGACTGGGTGTCCTGCTCTGTGTCCTCGCTGACCCTGGAGGACTGGGTGTCCTGCTCTGTGTCCTCACTGACCCTGGAGGACTGGGTGTCCTGCTCTGTGTCCTCACTGACCCTGGAGCTAGGGTTTCCACAGCACTGGTACAGACACTCGTGGCCACACCGTTTTCTTCCCAGTACTGGGATCTGAACTCACAGCACTCTCAGCTGCTATGCCATTTTCTTTCTGGTGTGTAAGTGCTTGGCATGTGTGCACACCATGGCACACATGTGTAAGTGCTTGGCATGTGTGCACACCATGGCACACATATGTAAGTGCTTGGCATGTGTGCACACCATGGCACACATGTGTAAGTGCTTGGCATGTGTGCACACCATGGCACACATGTGTAAGTGCTTGGCATGTGTGCACACCATGGCACACATATGTAAGTGCTTGGCATGTGTGCACACCATGGCACACATATGTAAGTGCTTGGCATGTGTGCACACCATGGCACACATGTGTAAGTGCTTGGCATGTGTGCACACCATGGCACACATATGTAAGTGCTTGGCATGTGTGCACACCATGGCACACATATGTAAGTGCTTGGCATGTGTGCACACCATGGCACACATATGGAGGCCAAAGGACAATTGGCAGATATCAGCTTTTCCACTATATGGATCTAGGGACCAAATTCAAGTTGTCACTCAGCCATCTTGCTGACCCTCTAATTTTGAATTGTTTGGTTTTAACTCTCCAAAAACCTGTCCGCTGTGTCTTAAGTAGCAATCTGTGTAACAAGGAGTCTGAGGTCCAAGGGCAGGATGGGAGGATGGACTGTGACTTGAGGGTCTGGAGGCAGGGACTCCACTTACCTTGCTCCTCACAGCCACAAGATGGCTGCAGAAGCCCCTGCCGCCTACAGAGGAAGCAGCAAGCGACTGGAGGGGGCAGCAAAGTGTCCAAAGGCTCTTCCGACCCTGTGCAGCTTGCTGGCCAGAGCTGGGAGCTGTGCCCAGATTGAAAAACAACCCCGGTCAACAGCAGTGCCAAGAATGGTTGAGACCGAATCTTAAATCAGCCCCTGGGGCTGGGCACATGGCTGCTGGCAGCATATCAGAGCTCTGCTGTCGGAGAGAGCTGTGGCTGCTGGGTCAGCCCCTGGGAACACCGAGAGGCGAGCTAGGCAGGGGTCCTGCCTTGCACAGGAGTGCAGCTTGGCGCCAAGTGGCCGTGCCACAAATGCTGGGCTGGAATGACGACTGGCACCCACCCTACTCACGTCTCTTGTATACGGGCATCTTCTGGCCAGGTCTCTCTGGGCCAGGTCCCAGGCTGCTGAGACCACGGCCAGGTGCCGCCAGCATCAGGAGAGCACAGGGGATCTGAGCCGTGAGAACGTTCAAGCTGGAGCTGAGTTCTACAAAGCAGAGCCAGGGGCGGGCTTCCAAGCTGGCCAGGTCCAGGCAGATTCCTACCTCACACGGTTCCCTGGAGGCCCCCTTGGCCTGACTCACTGCGAGGCCCTAGAAGTCACACTTGGCCTGTCTCTCGGGCCTGCAAACCTCCGTCCCCTGAGAGGGCAGTTTCCCACAGCCAGAGCCCAGGTGTGGAGGGAGGTGCCTGAGGACCTTGGCCAGGCCTCTAGGAAGAAGCAGGAAGCAGCCCAGTGTCCCTGTGCTCAAGGCAGCTCAGAGCCCTAAGACTTTAGGATAGAGGCAAAGAGAGGCCAGGCAGGGCTGCTGCCGCCCTGAAGAGGGCACCTACCACGTGCTGGGGCTGGCAGCTGGCTTGTGTGTGCAGTGGGGATACAAACCAGGGGCTCACATTCTAGGTCTGTCCTTTGCCTCTCACTGGGGGATTGGAGGCAGGGCTCTGTCCTGGGCCACCACCCAGCACCTCTCTGAGGATCCTAGGTAGAGGCTTCACCCCTGAGCCATGCCCCCAGCCCCTCACTGGGGGATCCTAGGTAGAGACACACCCCAGCCTGGTGGGCTTACCCTTAACCATTTGCAAGAGCTCGTGTGTGTCTGAGCAGCGCACAGACAGAAGCCATGGGTTTGGCATATCCAGGTTGACTGTGTGAGCTTGAGTTACTGTGTATCCTTGCATTCAGGTGTGTGTGTGTGTGTGTGTGTGTGTGTGTGTGTGTGTGTGAGCATGTGCAGTGCAAAGGCATGCTTCCCTTTCTTGGAAGGACACAGACATTCACTGACTGAACATGCAAGTCAGCTTCTGCTAATTAAAAACAGCTTTTTCATGTTTAAAGTTTACAATACAAAAAATAATTTTCCTTTCTTTAGGGGGGTGGAGTGGGAGCCAAGGAAGGGGCAGGGGCCCCCAAGAACATTCCATAAACTGGCTCAGATGGATCTGCACAATTCCCCACTTAGATACAGCAGCCCCCCACCGCCGCCCTGCAGGAGCCCCTGCCAGTTCATTGGGGACAAGCTGTTGTGAGGTGTTATGTGATCTGGGAGACTGATGGCTGGCAGACTCTTCACCCTGCCCTCTGCAGGGGCTGTGCTTCTCACTGGAGGCACTCTCTCTGGGGACAGCTCAGGTTGTGGGGAGCTGGAGCCTTGGTGGGTTCCGTCTGGATGCCCTTGGCAGCCTGGCTCCTCCCTCCCTCACATCAGCTCTTATTTTAGTGGCCTCTGCCTAAGCCTTGTTGAGGACAATGGCTGGGGTAGCAGGGTAGAACCCTCGGGTGAGGCGGAGGGTGACAGCACCAGTCTTCAAAGGGGACCGTCCTGCATATCAGACTTGTCCCCAACTATGGCTCTGTGCTGAGCTGGGGCTTGGGGGGGGCACGCTTGGGAAGATGGAGACAGGTGGGCAGAGGCACCTGGGGTGGAGACAGGCCCTGCTGACTGCCCCACCATGGCCTCTGAGGCTTTCTGCAGTTGGGGTGAGCAGCCCAGCAGTGAGAGAAGCTGGGGGGGGGGCTGCAGCTGCCTGGAGAGGTCCCTCACTAACCCCTCTTCCAGGCTGCTGGGCTCTGGCATCCTGCAGTTCCCTGTTCCGAGGGGAAGGGAGCCCCAAAGGCAGAGGCCAGGCAGGCAGACTGCAGGCGCCCACGCAGGTCCTCCCGTCTTTCTTAAGTCTTTCTTAAGTAAAGGACTGATGAGCAGACGAGCAGCAAGGGAGCAGGGCCCAAAAACGACCCCATCAGTGAGCAGCGGGACACCTTAAGTCTCCAGAGAATGACTCTTATTTGGAAGACAGTGGGGCTGGCTTCCTCCTTAAACAAAACACAAAGGTGCGACTTCAGGGTTTAAACAAAACAAGACATGGCTGACACCTCGGGGGGCTGCTGGAGCCACAGCACCCTCCCCAACTCCCCACCCCAGAGTCCAGGGCCCATGAGTGTGTCAGACCCCGAGTGTATCCATCTGCAGCCAGCATGGTAGACAGGTCATTTATTTTCCTCCACAACCTCAGGTTACTCTTGCAGAAAGACAGGCACACCTGACACAGCTGACTTTTGTTCTGAGACAAGATTGCTCTCAGTGGCCCTGGCTGGCCTAGAACCTGCAATAATCCCCCCACCCCAGCCTCCAGAGCACTGGAACAGGCCACTGAACTCACTTGGCTGTCTTCTTATAAAGGCAGATGACACACGTAGAGACCAGAGAGCCTCTTGGGGATGCTTCTGGAGTGTACCCCTGGAGTGCACACATCAAGGAGGGCCAGGAAACTGGGGGTAAAGACATGTGTCTCTGTACCTGCCACCTGTCAGGGTGCCTCTGGGGCTCCCTCTGGCTCCTGCATCCTGAATGCTGCCCAGGCACCAGGAGAGCTGATGGACAATCTTAAATTACACTCGATTGTGTGCCCACGTGGAGATCAGAGGGCAATTCTAAGAAGTCGCTTTCTCTTTCTGCCTCGTGGGTCCCAAGATATAACTGTGTTGTCAGGCTTGGTGGCCGGCAGGGATTTTCGCCAGCCAGGGGCGGTTCCCATGGGGACTTGGCTATTTTGCATCTACAAGCTTACTTCTGAGTGTCTGGCCAGGGTTGAGGGAAACAGAGGTTGAGCCACACAGGACAGAGCAGACACACGTTGGGCAGTAGCTGCCGTGGCGAGCAAACCTCTGAGACCAGATGGCTCTGCTGGCTCAGGGTTGAGAGGTGGGGGCCCCCAGTACTAGGGCTCCGACACTCGTGGGGAACACAGCCAGGCTGGGATCAGAGCTACCTCCCGTGACCGGCGCGGGGAAGCAGGACAGCCGCGCAAGCGATGCCCGCGAAAGACTCGGGGAAGTGCAGGTCTCTCTCCCACTCGTCTGTCTCGGTGTTGTACACCTGCACAATGCCCGTGACGTTGTTTAACCTCCAGTTGTAACCACCCACGATGTAGATCTTCCTCTCCAGCAGGCAGCAGCCAGCCTCCGACTGGCCGGCGCGCATAGGGGCCACGCTAGTCCACTGGTCGGCATCGGGCACATAGTACTCCACCGCCAGCACATCGAAACAGCGGTCCACGTGGTCCATGCGGCCGCCTAGGGCGTAGATGCGGCCAGCGGCCCCCAGCATAGCATGCAGCACGCGGGGCTCGCGCATGGGCGCCCTGGGTTCCCAGCGGTCAGTCGCAGGATCATAGCACTGCAGTGCTTTCTTGTCCTCAGCAGAGACACCATAGCCGCCTGAGATGTAGAGGCGGCCAGCAGCTGCAGCGCCCGCATGGCCCCAAGTGCGCCGCTTGAGCGGACAGGCGAAGTCCCAGCTGTCACGGCGCGGGCAGTAGCGCTCCACGGAAGCCAGGCTGCCTGCGCGATTGCGACCGCCCGTGGCATACAGCAGCCCACCCAGCGCTGTGAGCTGGAACTGCACTCGGCTCTCGTGCAGTGCCCGCAGCCGCAACCAGCGATTGCGCTGCGGGTCGTAGCGATAGCAGGCGTCCACAGCGCCCTCGCCGCTGCGGTGCTGCAGGTGCTGGCCGCCTGCCACGTACACGAAGTTATCTAGCACAGCCACGCCCGCGTGGCTGCAGCCCAGCTCCATCTCCGTGAGCTCGCGGAAGTGGCGGGCCCCAGGCTCAGGCAGCTGGAACACCTTGTTGCTGACCGCTCGGTCGCTGTCAGTATAGGGCGTGCCTCCGAAGGCCACCAGGGAAGCTACATCCGAACGTACCGCCGTACGCGGTGACTGCATGTCATGCTGGCGACAGGGCAGCACGTGGTAGCTGAAGGCCTCCAGCAGATACTGGCGACACAGGGCGTCGTCCAGCATGACGTCGAGTGTCTGCACGCTGTCCACCAGCTCCGAGGGCTGCATGAGCGGGAAGCGCACGTGGCGCAGCACGAGGCTGGCCCGGGCACGGCGGGCTGGATCATGCTGCAGCCAGCGCACTGCAGCACGGAACAGGTCAATCTCGGCGCAGCTCTGCAGCCGGTTACTCTGCAGGAAGAAGACAAGGCGCTCAAGTGGCAGGCGCAGGAAGTCCTCCTCTGCCGCAATCTGCAGGAAGTGTCGGAAGGTGAAGGCGTCTACCGACTCCCGTAGCGATGCCAGGCTGAAGGTGGTGGCCATCTGGCCGATGTGCAGGCATGTCTCCACGCTCATGGCGGCTTTCAGGAAGTCCTCGCACAGCTCCACCACTGGCAGCATCTGCAGGAATACAGCAGCGCCCAGCACATCCTGCACGCAGTCCAGGTCCAGTGTCACCTCTGCACTGTAGGCAAAGTCAATGATGTGGCGCAGGCCTCGTGCAGACACACCCTGCAGCTGGATGGCCGCCTGGCTGGCCTCGCGCATGCCGCCGGTGAACATGGCCCTGGAGGTGGCAACAGCACGTGTGAGCAGGCCCTACCTCAGCCTCTCTGACCGTGTGCAGCTGTGGGAGCCAGCCATTACTGCCGGCACCGCCCCCAAGGCTGACCCGTGGCTCTCTCGAAGAGATGGCAGCCGCAGATGTGCAGCTACCTGCTGCCTTGAGCTCCAGAGACAGGGCCAGCCTGTGCTTCCCCCCACTACCAGAACCCAGGGCTCCTTGCAGGCACAACCAACCTCCCCAGCCTGTAACCTGTCAAGGGCCGGCCCTGTTCCCCCAGCCTGTTGTGAAGGTCCCAAGAGGTCCCTGCCCATAAGGACTGTGTCCATTTCTGCTGTCTTTGGGGAATAGCTCCAGAGAGCTGACTTGTGCTCAGACATGGCCCAGAATCACCTCAGTCCTCAGCCTGTGTGAGACCTCTGCTAGGGGTCTCTGGAGCCATGTGACAGCTGTTGAGAGGATCAAGGCCCATACACAGGGGCTCTGGGAGGCTTGGGGTCAAGCCTCAGCTTCCCGCAGGAAGGAAAGCACTGGCTTGTGCTCAAAGGGTCCATAGGAGTCCCTGAGTGGCATTCTGTCATTTCAGAGCAGCCCTCCCAACTGATAGCTGCCAGAAAGGGGGCGGCACCCCATCATCAAAGAGACCCCTCCCCACAGTGGTGCTCCATGCAGCCTAGGCTCAGGTCACGCCAGGACCAGCTCCCAGCCCCTGCCTGTCCTTCAGAGTCCCCACCAGCCCTTGGACACTTGAGAGAGAAAAGAGGCCAGACGACGGGATAGAGTTTTGCCTTTTAAGGCCTCATGGGTTGCATTGCCAGAGCGGGGTGCCTTTAAAAGGCACTGCTGGCTGGGCCGCCCACCCGCCCCCAAATCCAGAGTAAAAATAGCATCGATGCCCCAATTGGCTTGGCTGCAGCAGCTCCCCAGAATGGCTTCACTGAGCCCCAGGGAGGGCGGCTGGGCCGAGAGGGACATGAGGCCCAGTGCCTACACCTGGGTGGCAAGTCCTCTTAGAATGGGGTCACAGCTGGGGGAGAAGGAGGCTCAGCGTCCACCCCTGCCGGGAGGAATCCCCTAACCAGCAGCTCCACCGGGCCTTTAGTTCTGACCAGTGCCAGAGCAGGGGAAAGCAGACACCCACGTGTCACTGCAGGCCTGAGGCCACAGTGACAAGAGGAGCCCCACGCAGACACCACAGGACACCACGGCTCTCATGTCCCTCCAGTCCCTCAGCCGTTTGCTTCAGTGACTTGGAGGGGACTTGATGGCAGCAAGGGACTCATTACTACTTAATTCTTGCTGCACACATGGCCTACACCAGTGCCTGCCATACAGCATGTATCGAATGAGGGGCTAGGAAGGGGGGCTGAGCTGGTGCAGTGCCTGCCTGAGCACTCGTGGAGGAGGAAGCAGAGAGAAAATCAGGGGCTCATGGGCATCTTGGGCTACATTGTGAGTGTGAGGCTAGCCTGGGCTACATGAGATCCGTCCCGTCTCAAGAGAGAAAAAGGGATGGGGGCAGGCAAGCCTGCAGGATAGCTCAGTGGGTTAAGGCACTTGTCGCTACACCTGACAGCTGAGTTTGAGCCCCAGAACCCACACAGTGAAACGATAGAGAGAACTGACGTCTGCAATGCCCTCCACTCTCCACATGCACACCATGGTTCACATCACACACGCATGCACACCATGGCTTACATCACACACGCATGCATGCACACCATGGCTCACATCACACATGCATGCACACCATGGCTCACATCACACACGCATGCATGCACACCATGGCTCACGTCACACACACATGCATGCACACCATGGCTCACGTCACACACACATGCATGCACACCATGGCTCACGTCACACACACATGCATGCACACCATGGCTCACGTCACACACACATGCATGCACACCATGGCTCACGTCACACACACATGCATGCACACCATGGCTCACGTCACACACACATGCATGCACACCATGGCTCACGTCACACACACATGCATGCACACCATGGCTCACGTCACACACACATGCATGCACACCATGGCTCACGTCACACACATGCGCACCATGGCTCACATCACACACGCATGCATGCACACCATGGCTCACGTCACACACACATGCATGCACACCATGGCTCACGTCACACACACATGCATGCACACCATGGCTCACGTCACACACGCATGCATGCACACCATGGCTCACGTCACACACACATGCATGCACACCATGGCTCACGTCACACACACATGCATGCACACCATGGCTCACGTCACACACGCATGCATGCACACCATGGCTCACGTCACACATGCATGCACACCATGGCTCACGTCACACACGCATGCATGCACACCATGGCTCACGTCACACATGCATGCACACCATGGCTCACGTCACACACACATGCATGCACACCATGGCTCACGTCACACACGCATGCATGCACACCATGGCTCACGTCACACACGCATGCATGCACACCATGGCTCACGTCACACACGCATGCATGCACACCATGGCTCACGTCACACACGCATGCATGCACACCATGGCTCACGTCACACACACATGCATGCACACCATGGCTCACGTCACACACACATGCATGCACACCATGGCTCACGTCACACACACATGCATGCACACCATGGCTCACGTCACACACACATGCATGCACACCATGGCTTACGTCACACACACATGCATGCACACCATGGCTCACGTCACACACACATGCATGCACACCATGGCTTACATCACACACACATGCATGCACACCATGGCTCACGTCACACACACATGCGCACCATGGCTCACATCACACACGCATGCATGCGCACCATGGCTCACATCACACACGCATGCATGCACACCATGGCTCACGTCACACATGCATGCACACCATGGCTCACGTCACACACACATGCATGCACACCATGGCTCACGTCACACACGCATGCATGCACACCATGGCTCACGTCACACACGCATGCATGCACACCATGGCTCACATCACACACACATGCGCACCATGGCTCACGTCACACACACATGCATGCACACCATGGCTCACGTCACACACGCATGCATGCACACCATGGCTCACGTCACACATGCATGCACACCATGGCTCACGTCACACACGCATGCATGCACACCATGGCTCACGTCACACATGCATGCACACCATGGCTCACGTCACACACACATGCATGCACACCATGGCTCACGTCACACACGCATGCATGCACACCATGGCTCACGTCACACACGCATGCATGCACACCATGGCTCACGTCACACACACATGCATGCACACCATGGCTCACGTCACACACACATGCATGCACACCATGGCTCACGTCACACACACATGCATGCACACCATGGCTCACGTCACACACACATGCATGCACACCATGGCTGACATCACACACACATGCATGCACACCATGGCTCACGTCACACACACATGCGCACCATGGCTCACATCACACACGCATGCATGCGCACCATGGCTCACATCACACACGCATGCATGCACACCATGGCTCACGTCACACACACATGCATGCACACCATGGCTCACGTCACACATGCATGCACACCATGGCTCACATCACACACACATGCGCACCATGGCTCACGTCACACACACATGCATGCACACCATGGCTCACGTCACACACGCATGCATGCACACCATGGCTCACATCACACATGCATGCACACCATGGCTCACATCACACACACATGCATGCACACCATGGCTCACATCACACACACACGCATGCGCACCACGGCTCACGTCACACATGCATGCACACCATGGCTCACATCACACACACATGCGCACCATGGCTCACGTCACACACACATGCATGCACACCATGGCTCACGTCACACACGCATGCATGCACACCATGGCTCACGTCATACACGCATGCATGCACACCATGGCTCACGTCACACACACATGCATGCACACCATGGCTCACGTCACACACACATGCGCACCATGGCTCACGTCATACACGCATGCATGCACACCATGGCTCACGTCACACACACATGCATGCACACCATGGCTCACGTCACACACACATGCGCACCATGGCTCACGTCATACATGCATGCACACCATGGCTCACGTCACACATGGATGCACACCATGGCTCACGTCACACATGGATGTGCACCATGGCTCACGTCACACAGGCATACACACACATGAAAAGGAAATAAAAATTTAAAAAGAAGCTGGGCATTGGTGGCACACACTGTAATCTCAGCACTTGGGAGGCAGAGGCAGGCAGATCTCTGTGAGTTCAAGGCCAGCCTGGTCCACATATCGAGTTCCAGGACAGCCAGGACTACACAGAGAAACTCTGTCTCAAAAAACAAAACAAATTAAAAAGAGAGGGGGACCTAAGGGTTCAGCGTGGTGCAGAATGCTTACTCAGCATGTGCCAGGACTGGAAAATAAAGGAAACTTAGAAGATGGGGAGGCACTGTGAGTCTTCGGCTAATACAAGCTGTATAATAAAACAGTGTCTTTAAAACAAAGAGGTCCCCGCAAAGGTGGCAGAAACGTGAACTCCAGTTCCCAGGGCCAGGCTTACCTAAAGTAGTCACTACAGGCTGCCAGGACCACCTTGTGTGCAGGGAAGGGCTCACTGTCGACAGTGAGGACCACGTCGAGCAGCTGGCCCTGTGCACGGAGAGCAGCCAGGCCCTGCAGGAGGCCGGTGCTATGGCCGGCTGCTGAGAAGGTGCACTTGAGGGTCCCACTCCTGTCAGCCAGGCTGCAAAGACAGCAGAGGAGACAGGGCTCAGAGATCTCCAAGTGGGACACACACATTCACATGGAGGACACTTGGAACTGTAGTACTGAGTGACAGAAGCAGCCCACACGGGGGAGGACACAGAGTATTTGGCACAGGAGGGAGAAGGGGAAGGGACCATTAAACGCACAATCTTGTGGAAGGATTGAGAAGTCCAGAAACAAGGTAGAGGCTAAGCCTGCGCCATACAGGAAATACTGGAAGACTGTCCACCTGAAAACGGGATGCCTTAGGGCATAGCTCAGGGGTGAAGCCGCTGCCTAGGATCCCCCAGTGAGGGGCTGTCATCACAGAACTCTGGCAGCAGAAATAAGATCAGGAATTCAAGGTCATCCTCAGCTACGATAGACAGAGTATTTTCTTAAATTTGTCAAATACAGACAGACTAAATATTGTAACTGTAATTCTTGCTTGATAACTGTTTTATGATATATAATTTTATTATGTGAAAATTAAGACCTTCCTTTTTTATTTAGACAGAAAAGGGAGATGGTGTGGGATGTCCTTCTCTATGCTGCGAATGTGCGTCCCTTTTACTGGCTGATGAGTAAAGCTGTTTCAGCCAATGGACAGGAAAACACAGCTAGGTGGGAAATCCAAACAAACACTAAGAGAAGGAAGGCGGAGTCAGGGAGACACCACGGAACCACCAAAGGAGCAACGTGCCATACACACATCAATAGAAATGGGTTGACTTAATTATGACAGCTAGTCGGTATATGCCTGGGCCATCGGCCAAACAATTTTTATTTTATTTATTTATTTATTGGTTTTTCAAGACACAGTTTCTCTATGGCTTTGGAGGTTGTCCTGGAATTCGCTTTGTAGACCAGGCTGGTCTTGAACTCACAGAGATCCGCCTGCCTCTGCCTCCCGAGTGCTGGGATTAAAGGTGTGCACCACCAACACCTGGCTAAACAATTTTTATTACTATTAAGCTCCAGAGTGTTATTTCATAAGCGGATACAGGGACTTTCGAGTGGGAAAGAGGCTGCTCCAGGGGGCTGGGCGGAACACATAAAGGCTTCCATCTACAGCGGTGTGAGTTTAATGACAGCCAGGGCTATATGAGAACCTGTTTCATAAACACAAATTAGTGGGGTGTGATGACGCACGCCTTTAATCCAGCCCTCGGGAGGCAGAGGCGGGCGGGTCTCTATGAATTAAAGGCCAGCCTGGGCTACAGAGTGAGTTGCAGGACAGTCAGGGATACACAGAGAGACTGTCTAACACAGAACAAGGAAAACCAAAAGACAAGCATATCCCCTTAGTGTCCTGTCCCCATTCCCTGGAATCAGCTTACTTCACACAGCTCCGAGCAGCCCCTCTGCTGTTCCCTTCAACGCCTTTGCTGAAGTTCTTCATGTAATGCCCCACCCTCGGAGAAGGGGGGCAGTGCTGCTGGGAGCGAGCTCCACCCAACCCACACACCCACAGAACCCGTCACCACCCTCCACTGCTGAGGCTGAGCGCTCTCTCCTCTCTCTCTCTCTCTCTCTCTCTCTCTCTCTCTCTCTCTCTCTCTCTCTCTCTCTCTCTCTCTCTCTCTCTCTCTCTCCCCTCTCTCCTCTCTCCTCTCTCCTCTCTCTTCTCTCTCAGGACCATTGACCCTTTGGGACCTGCCCTTCCATTCTTGGGCCAGGAATGTGGGGCACTGGGTTTTCCGAGAAATGAGGAGGGCCGTCCGGGACCCCCTTCCCACCAGTCCCCAAATAAGGAGCCTTCTGAGCTGCAGAAGCTGCACAGGGCACCGGCTCCCACAACCCCTGGCCGGCTGCCCAGTTTGGCGGTCCTTGGAGACCCTCGGGCGGAAGGTTGGAGACACTCGGGGTGGGGCACCGCCACATTGATAAGGTGCCTCACGCCCAGAGTAAGGATCTGTGGTGTGCAGAGGTACAGGCTGCCCTGGGAAGGAAGCCATGAGTCCTGAGAGTGGCAGGGAACCCCAGGATCACCACCTCATGTCAAAGCCTCGGAGACTGGCCAGAAATACAGGCACCTGGCTGCTGGGGTCGGGGAGGGAAGGGGTCCATGCACATCCAAGACCCTGGTCTGTCATGTGGTCTCCCCTGGACCAGGTGGAGAATGCCAATCTTAGCAGCCACCTCTGTCTTCTTTGAGCACAATGGCATTCTGGCCAGGCTACTGTGGCAGTCTGAGACCCCACTCTCTGATTCCAAGTCCCCAACAGACCTGCGGCTCCTGGGCTCCATCACAGATCAAGGGTCCAGGGCCACCCTCACCAGGGAACTCTTATGCTCCTAACGACATCCCTCATGACCCACAAGGATCTGACGAAACTGAGACACTCAGTGGATAAATCGTCTGTGCAGCAGGGCCAGTGGTCATCAGCGCACACAGGCCCAGCTTCCTGTCCCAACTGCAGATGGAGCCATGGCATTAAGAGCTGAGGAACAGGAACCAAGCCAGAGCTGTGTGGAGCTGGAGCTGGTGTATCTGTGCTACCCCGCTGAGGGAGACACTGAGGCTTCTGGGTTTGTGCCCATGGAGCCCGTGAGAGCACAGGCTTGCTGAATCTATCTGATGCAGTGCAGCCCTGCCTTCCAAGCCCACAGGGTTAGGAGACAGGATTGCTGCAAGTTCACTGCCACCTGGAGCTGGAAAAAGCCTGCCTCAGTGAACAAAGCAAAAGTCAGCATGGTGGCTAATGGGGAAGCTGCCAAGTTTGACCCCAGGAAGCCACAAGCCATTGAGATCAGACTTAATGTAGGTTGTCCTGTGACCTCTGCACATGGATAGGTACCCATTTCCCCAAAATAAATCAATGCAATAAGTCGAGACTCACAGGTTGGCTGTCCCTGGGCATCAGGGTCCCTACTGTAGGGACCCTGGCTTTTACATGTTGAGGGTTGGTATACACACAATCCTGAGACAGGCTGAGCCAACAGCTCTGAGGGGTAGCTCTGAGGGCCACTAGCAGCAGTGACCCCTAGGCAGAGCAGCTTCTAACTTCTCCGGGGCACCTGCGCATTTGGGTAGACCAAGCCAGACCCCGAGGCTACTGAGTCCAGGTCCTCTTCTTAGCCTGCATCATTAATTCAGTCACCCATTCACACACATGACCCTACCTTGTGATTTCACAGGCTTTAGGAGGAGCAGGGGAACACAGGGCATGTGTGTATACACCAGATGAATGGCCTGGGGGAGGGGAGACATACCCTTGGGGCCACAATGCAGCTGTGCATCCTGCACATAAGGACAGGTGGGGAAGGCAAGATGGCATGGTAGGTAAAGGAGCTTGTGGCCAAGCTTGATGCCGACTTCAGTCCCTGACCTCGCATGCTGCAGGGAGACACTGACTCCACAGGCGTCGAGGCGCATGCCCCACCCCCAAACACAAATAAGTGCAATAATAGTAATTTCTTAAAAGACCAGTGGACAGCTGGGCGTTGGTGGGCATGCCTTTAATCCCAGCACTCGGGAGGCAGAGGCAGGCGGATCTCTGTGAGTTCGAGGCCAGCCTGGTCTACAAAGCTACAGAGAAACCCTGTCTTGAAAAGTCAAAACAAAACAAAAACCAGTGGCTTAATTGGTAAGAACCCTCTATGACACACTGGGTCAACTTTCCTCAGCTGTCAAAGGAGCAAGCCTCTGGAATCACTGTGCTCCTCCAGCCCACAGACCTCCTGGAGAGGGACAAACAGACCCAGAGGCAAAGACTTCCACAGTCACCTAGGGACATTTCCTTAGTTCAGGGAGACTTGGGACAGGAGGTTTTGGACACTGAGCTACTGTGATTCTGTTGGGGGAAGTCCTGTTATTTGCCTGTGGATTTGTCAATAAAGTACTGTCTAGCCAATAGAAAACCTAGATAGGAGGGACTAGGAGTCGAGGAGGATTCTGGGAAGGGGAAACACAAGAGAGTTCAAGATGTAACGCATGGGGTAGGAGCCCGGAACTATTCTCCGGTAAGAGACATACTTGGATTAACAATTATGGGGTAATTACTTAAGTCAGAGCTAGCCAGTAAGAAACAAGCAAGGCCAACAGCTTCATAATTAATATAGCCTCCTGTGTGTTTATTTGGGACTCATGCGGATCTAGAACCAGGCTGGCGCGGCAGAGCCCAGGCGACTGGCGGGGGGATAAACCAAAGTGGCTAGCAAAAGAAAAAGCTTCTCTTAACAAAATGGTGATCAGGAGTGGGATCATGAATTTCCACGCAGAATGACAAAAGCTTTAAAGGAATTTTAGAAACAGAAGAACAGAGAGAAGCACAGATTTTTGGTAGCAGCATTTTTCTCAGGTGTGCTCTGTTTTGCTAGCGACAAGCCGAGATTCACGCGGCTTGCTTACCGGAGTCTTCCTGACTCGGCATAAAAAGAAAAAAAAAAAAACCCAGCAAGGTTGTTTTAAGAGACTCTGCTAACGATTGAAAAGTGTGTACGTACAGCTGGAAGTGGCAGCTTTTGCTGGATGTCAACATGGACTGAGGCGGTAAGCTGAAATCACGCTTATGCCCGCCATCTTGAAACGGCAGTTTAAAACAGCCACGGTTTTACAGATAAGACACGTGGCCAGAAAAACATAAAGATTTACAGTAAAGTCAGACTTGGATAAAGAAAAACTTCTAAAGGTTTACAGTGTGTTTAAAAATATATGTGAGATTGAGAGAGAAACTGAAACGACAAAGTGGTAAATAAATACAAAAGCCGGCGTTGTGGTGGCGCATGCCGGTAGGATTGCTCCAGAGGCAGAGGCAGGCAGGTTTCCAAAGAGAAACCCTGTCTCAGAGAAAAATAAATGAAAGTGAAAGAAATAAAGTAATAATAGATAAATAAATAAGCCACGTAAAGATGGAAAATACACAGAGAGTCTGGATACTGTACGCTATTGTGTTTTTCAGTTTTTTGCTTGCTCAGGAAGGAACTGCTGCTAAAGTACACTTGATTATAAATGCTGCTGAATTAATCCAACTTCTATCTTTTAAAAATGCCTTG